CCCCCCCCCTTTTCTCATGGGCTCCCCCCTTTTCTCATGCCCCCCCCCCTAGTCATAAAGAGCCGGATTTTTTCTTCAGCAAATTCTAGAAAATAAATCTCAAGATTTCCCATAATTATATGCCGTCCTTTCCCTCACCAAAAATATATTCTCATGCCCTTATTGTTAGTTTTTTACATTCTTCTCATTGACATCATTTTCTTTCTCTTGAATTCAAGATTTCAAAATCCCGAAGAAGTGCCAAATTTCCCGGTCCGGAATATTAATAAGGGGGAGACAAACAATCTGAATTTTAAATCTTTCTATACGTATTTTTTTATTTTCGGGATCTCCCCATCTCATCAATATTCTATTCTTTTTTTCGGCGATCTTTTTTGTTTTTTTGATTCCCTTGTGGCCTAATTCTGGTGGCCTAGAAGTTCTTGGGATTTCTAGGCCGCCATAAATTTTAGAAATAATTTTTTTCAGGTATCCCAAAATGCAAAACTTCATTACTGAATTGGTCATCTTCTTAACCATTCTTCTCTCAGTCAGGTATGGTTTGAAAAGTGCGCTCTACCGTAATCGGTTTTCGATTTGTTTTCGAAAAATGTTCAAATTCTAGAATACGATAGTTTTTCTGAAAATGGAAATTTATTCGAAAACCAAAACTTTGGCTGGCTTTTCAGGTTTTCAGTATTGGAGGTTCTGAGATTCTGAGATTCTGAAAATTTTGGAATTCTGAAATTCTGAAATTTCGAGCTCCAACAATTCTACATAACTCCCGAAGACTCTCAAACTCTGAGATTCTGAGATTTTGAAATTCATAGATTCTGCGGTTCTGAAATTCAGTAATGTTGAAATTCTGAAATTTTGAATATTCTGAGATTCTCGAATACTGAAGATTCTTAGATTCTTAAATTAAAAGTTTCTACATTTTCTGAATTTTCAGAGAATTCTCTGGATTCAAAGACTCTAAGATTCCAAATTTCAGCAAAGTCTGGAATTTGAGATTTTCAGTATTATAACTTTGACATTCTAAACTTCTGAAGATTCTAAAATGCTGAACTTCTTGGATTCTCAAATTTTTCGGGTTTTTGAGATTCGGAGATTCTGAAAATTGAAAAAAAATCCTGTTTCTTGATGTCTAATTTTAATCTTTCAATTCAAAAATTCTCGATTTTTCCCAGAAAATCCTTCCAGTACACTTGTTCTCCTTTTTTCATTTCCGGGTTCCACCCAAAAATTTTTTCATATTTTTCACGAATTTTAAATGTTATTTTGATAATAAAATGACGCAATCGAGCTTTCTTCAAAATAATTGAAATAAACGGGTCCTAAATTTGTTTTCAATTTCTTAGACATCCCCCCCCCCCCCCATTTAGGAGCTGTGGTCCCATTTAACGAAATGGGATGAGACTACCCCATAAAAATCGTATAGTAGATAAAAGTACCGTAATCCCCTTTCCATTTGCTCATCCAATTTATTTAATTTTCAACATGACGTGGAAAAAGGCGCCTAAAAGCTTCTTCCCACCGCCGCCCGTAGTAAGCTCCGCCCACTTTTGCCGAAAGGGGCGGAGACTAGAGAGAGGGGAAAGAGCTCATTCTGTTTTGTGACACCCGATACCGCACACACTTTATTCTTTCTATACATTTTTGAATCAGAAAGAATGCAGTTCAAAATTTTGATGGCTTTGATTGTAACGTTCGTTGCCATGAATGAGAGGTGAGTAATGTTTGGAGCCGTTTATCTTGGTTGCTAGAAGAGTTAGAGCAAAATAATCAGCTAGTAAAATATTTTTCTTTCATTCTTAACATTTTGTTAATTGACCGTTTTGAGCTACTTTCTATAGGAACCAAGATAATTCGTGTCAAAGTTGAAAACAGTAAATAAGCGTTCCTAAACTTTGGGTCAATTTATCTCGGTTCCTGTAAAAGATATCAAAAAGCGATAAATTGATAAAACATTTTTGATAAAATGATGAATATTTTGTTCGTTGACTATTTTTTGATATCTTGTACAAGAAATAAGATATATGTCCTTAAAGTTTACGGTTTGAGACATTCTATTAGCTCCATACTGTATTTAGCATTCTGTCAACTTTAAGTCAATTTATCTCGGTTCCTATAAAATATATCAAAGAGTGATCAACTGATAAAATGTTTATTAAATTATCAAAAACATTTTATCAGTTTACAATTTTTAAATATTTTCCCCAGAAACAGAGAAAAAGTGGCTCAAAATTTCTTAACTTCAATAATTGAACCCTAAAACTATTATTTTTGCTTTCGGATACATTTTTGGCAACTCATATTCTGAAAATGTCACTTTTTTGATAGACAGCTGAAAAAAGTCTTATAGATTTTATTAATGTCTCAAAATAGAACACCTGCGAGTTGAAAAGTGTTGTTGAGCTTGGCTGAAAATTTTTTTTTCAGCCTATAATTTTTTTAGAACAACAATGATCGGGGTTCCGGAAATTTTAAGAAAAAAAATCATTTTTGTGTCATAAGATGTCAAAATATTTCAATCCTAATCAGGAGCTAAACCCGCTCAGAAAACGAGAGTAGCTTAGAATTTTTAATATTTCTGTTTTTTTGGAATTTTCGATTTTTCGGATTATCACCAATAAAAAACAGTTTACTCATCTTTGAACGTCTGGATTAGTCAAATGTTTTTGTGATAGAATGCAAAAATGAATAATGATAATAAATATGAGTAATGAGGTCAAAAGTCATAAAACTGAAAAAAAAACAGTCGGTTACGAAACGTCCTGTTTTGAAATAGGCAATTTCAAATTAGGACATTTTCAATATTATGGTTCTAGAACGTTCTGTTTGTTTTTTGTTTACTTTAGAGAGTCCTATAACTTATAGGCTGTAAGGACTCAGGTTACAAAATTCTCAGAACCTTCAGACTTTCTGGAATTTCAAAATCTAAGAATCTAAGAATCTAAGAATCTAAGAATCTAAGAATCTAAGAATCTAAGAATCTAAGAATCTAAGAATCTAAGAATCTAAGAATCTAAGAATCTAAGAATCTAAGAATCTAAGAATCTAAGAATCTAAGAATCTAAGAATCTAAGAATCTAAGAATCTAAGAATCTAAGAATCTAAGAATCTAAGAATCTAAGAATCTAAGAATCTAAGAATCTAAGAATCTAAGAATCTAAGAATCTAAGAATCTAAGAATCTAAGAATCTAAGAATCTAAGAATCTAAGAATCTAAGAATCTAAGAATCTAAGAATCTAAGAATCAAGTTTCCCAATTTCCAGCGTCCTCGCTCTTCCACTGGAGAAGAAGGCTGACATCAACACATTCGCATCGGCGATCAACAATGCCGGACGTCTCCGATATGGAAAACGATCGGATCCATCGGTTTGGGAGGACAAGTGAGTTTTTGGGATCCTAGGCCATGAAAAGAAAAACTAGGCTATTGAATTTCTAGGTCAAATCCCACGCCCTACTTGAGCTTTTATGGAAAGCCTTGAGTTTCCTTTTCCTTAATAATAATTTGGACTTTAGACATTCCGGAAGAGCATAAAACCGGAAAGAAGAGGGTGCCCTTTTCAAAACTATTTTATTTACATCCGCCATGCTCTTCTTTGAAATTCACGTCATCGGGATTTTCTGAAAAATAATGTGTCTGTTTTTTTCAGTATGCCAATCTTCCCAGCCGCCGATCAGTACATCTACACAGAGGAGGGACGTTATCCATACGCTCAGTAAGCACGCTCTATTGGGAATCTTGTAAATTGCCCTCTATGGAGAACTCCGTTCTAAATGGACAGGCAGTTGTCTGAACCTTAAACCGAAAGTGCGCTCTATTGAGAATTTTTCGAAAAAGCGGTTTAAGATTATTTAGAGAGTGCGCTCTATTGAAAATTTTTTTCAAAGGGGCAGGAAGTTCTTGGGAAAGTGCGCCCTACTGAGAATTTTCCAAAAAAAGGGTTTCTAAGTTCTTTGGAAAGCGCGCCCTATTTAGAATCGAATTAAAAGTTAGAAATTCCATTTTAAAGGCGCAGGTGTTAGACTCTAATTCATGATAAATGGGACACCACCACCCATCTGAATTTGAAAATAGAAATTTTTATTGCTTATTTTAAGTTTAAATGACGATTTATGGGAAAATCACCTACCGAATTTGTGTTCCAATTTGGAATTTTCGGAAATTAGTCGAACAATTTCGATTAGGGAAATTTTTAAAATTTCAGAACATTCTGACATTCTGAGTTTCTGAAAATTTTCAGAGTCTTGGAATTCTGAATTTTCTGAATTCTGAGATCCTCAGAGTTCGAAATTTTCAGATTCTAAAAATTCTGGTTTTCTGAATTTTCACAACTTCTGGACTTCGAGACCTTCAGATTCGAAATTTTTCGATTCCAACGATTCTGAAATTCTGGGTTCTGGAATTTCGGGATTTCAGGGACCCTTGGATTGAAATTCCAGATTTTCAGCTTTCTGAATTTTTAGAATCCCTAGAATCTGAAATTTTCAGATTCTGTGGTTCTGATTTTTTTTAGAATTTCAGAGTTTCAGTTTTCTCTAGATTTCGAAAATTTCAAAAAAAATTTAAATCCCAAAAATTCTCTTTTTTTTCAGAATCAAGCGTGCCCTGAACACCGACTCTCTGGTTGCCTCTCTCAATGGAGCTGAAAGATTACGGTAGGCGAAAATTCAAATGTTTGAAATTTTTATTCGAAATTTCAAAACTTTTGGTTGAAAATTTTCCAAAAACTTCCGTTTGAAATTTTTTTAATTCACAAATTTTTTAAATTTTTTACCTAAATTCCAAATTTTGAAAAAATTTATTTTTTTTTTAATTTTCAATTTTAAAATTTTAAAATTTCAGCTTCGGCCGCAAATAAACCACCATCTACCACCCCATCATTCGACTTCATTTCGTCCGTCTCTCAAATTAGCCAATTCTCTCCGATTTTAATTAATTAATTACCCCTTGCAATTAACGCCCCTAATTTATTTCTCAAGCCTCAAAATCCATTGTGTTGTTGTATCAAAAATCAGTTCCAACCCCCTTCGTCCCCCCAGCGCCGAATTTTGTGTGAAAAAAATCTCTTTTAAAATAAAAATTGTGAGTCTGTTAGCGTTTTGAAACTGCCATAGCACCTCGATTTGAAATTTGGAGCCTAGCAGACGCGTCGCGTATCAGCGAAGCGGTCGCCAGCTAGAAGCGCGCTGTCTTTTGAGCCACTAAAAATAAAAATTTTGAGCCACTAACAATAAAAATTGAGACAAGGAAGAATAAAAAAGAAGAAGAATGAGATGGTTGACTAAACGATGAAATCTGAAGTTTGATTTTTTTCCTTCCGATTTGGTGATTCGTGTGAATTGAATACTAAATAAGCGAATTCATTTAGAAGGAATTGTGACGAACAATATAAGAATATAAACATTGTAGTAGGCAGAAAAGGGATTGGGAAAGGTAACAAAAAAAAGGAATTTCACAGAAATTTAGCAATTTATTTCTTCTCAAACGCGAGCACGGATCTCAACGATTCGCCCTTGTGAAGCACGTCGAACGCAGTGTTGATCTCGTCGATATGATAGCGATGCGTGATGAATTCGTCGATCAGAAGCTTCTTGTTCATGTAGTCGTCGACGAGTCTTGGCACAGAATCCACCGATTTCCATCCTCCGAAAGCAGTTCCCTTCCATGTGCGTCCGGTGACAAGTTGGAATGGACGCGTGGCGATTTCTTGACCGGCTCCAGCGACACCAATGATGCACGAGACACCCCAGCCTTTGTGAGCTGCTTCGAGAGCTTGACGCTGCAAATAAAAAAAATCCTTTAAAATTCTAAAAATTCCAAAAATGCCCTAAAAATGGTGCAAATTCCGAAAAAGCTGAAAACTCCAAAAATACCAAAAAATTTCGGAATTTCGGACTATTTTTTCAAATTTTTCGGGACCAGAAAAGCTGGTCCAAAATGCGTCTTTCTTACCATAGTATGAACATTTCCAATACACTCAAAAGTGTAATCGAATCCTCCATCGAAACTGTCCACCAACCACGCCTGGAAGCTCTTTCCCTCTGGCAATTGCACACTTTTCGGATTGATACACTCTGTGGCTCCAAAGAATTTCGCAGATTCGAATTTCGACTCAATCAAATCGATTCCAATAATTCTCTTGGCTCCAGCCGCCTTCGCACCCATGATAACAGCCAATCCAACCGCACCCAGGCCCCACACAGCTACAGTACTCCCGTCCTCTACTTTGCAGGTATTGAGCACTGCTCCATAGCCAGTAGAGATTCCACATCCTAGAAGCGAGACCTTCTCCAAAGGAGCTTCTGGGTTCACTTTGCAAAGCGAGATGTCAGCGACAACCGTGTATTCCGAGAATGTGGAGCATCCCATGAAATGGAAGAGCTGTTTTCCATTGCAAGTAAATCTCGAGGTACCATCCGGCATGAATCCATTACCCTGGGAGACTCGAATCTTTTGACACAGATTTGTCTTTGGATTTTTGCAATATTCACACTCCTTACACTGTGGGACATACAATGGAACCACATGATCTCCAACAGCAAATCCAGTAACGCCTTCTCCTACACTTTCGACGATTCCAGATCCCTCGTGACCTAGAACCACTGGGAAGAGTCCTTCTGGATCGTGTCCGTCGAGGGTGTAAGCATCGGTGTGGCAGACGGCGGTGTAGAGGATCTAAAGACACGTGGATTTTTAAGGAGAATGAGAAGCAGGGATTACTGTACCTTGACACGAATTTCGTGCGCTTTTGGTGGCGCCACTTGGATTGTCTCGATGGAGAGTGGCGATTTGGCGCTCCAGGCAACGGCGGCCTTGCAGTTGATCACCTGGAATTTAGAAATTTTAGAATCCCAAAATTTTCAGAATAGAAAAGTCGGCAATTCGGAATCTTCGAAAATCTGGAAGCTTCTTAAAATCTTAAATTTGATAAAATCGGAGAAGTGAAAAAAAAATTGAAAAATCGGAATTTTTGGGAATTCGGAAAATTTTGAAAAATCAGGAAATCGGAAATTTGAAAAGTTAGAATTTGGAAAAATCAAAGTTTAGAAAAATTGGAAATTTTTTTTTTTTGCGAAAAATAGAAATTTTCCAGAAATTTCAGTTTTTTTTTCAAATATTTATCCTTACCTGTCCAGCAGTGGAGCTCATTTTGTGAGTAGAAATTGAAGTTTTTGAACCTAAAAATTGAAAATTTACAAAAAAAGTCTAGGAAAAAATTGTTCAATGATCGAAAGGCATCAAAATAATCGAGGTAAACTGTTCAATGATCGGTGTGTGAACCCGAGATAGATCGAGAAAATCAAAAATCGCAAAATTAGAAAAATAAATAACAATTAATTTTAAAAAATTCAACAAAAAATGGGTCAAAAAGTAACAAAAAATGAGGTTTTTAGCGGGGGGAAAAATGGGTCAAAACATAACAAAAAAGACATTTTTTGAATTAAAAAAAATTAAAAACTTTTTTCATAGGATTACGGTAGATGGAACTCCGCAAACACCGCTGTGATATCAAACAAAAAAGAGAACAAAAAAGCGGGGATTTCAGAGGGAAAAGGAAATTTTTCGAATAGAAAAAAAAATTAAAAAAAAAAACAAGAAAAATCAACGATCCAACTGAATAATCCATTCCATATGATTGGTTTGTGGGAACATGTCGACTGGCTGGACACGTGTCACCGAGAATGCGTCGCCCGAGTATTTTCGGGATCTGAAAAATGATTTTTTGGTTTTGACAGGAAAAATGGCCTAAAATCGTCTAAAAATAGACAAAAATGCCCGAAAAATGTAGAAAATTAATAAAAGTGATTTTCAAAAATCTCGCTTTTTGTGGAGACTCCAAAAATCGACACAGAAAAATCTAGAGAATTCGTTTAAATAATCAATGAAAAGGGGAGAGAAAATCGGTGATTGGTATAGCCTTATCATTGTGTCCAACTGATAAGACACATTGTAGTATTTGTAGTCTATACTCACTCCGGACGGCACAGATTCACAATGTTGTTGATGGCGGCGTTGGGTTCGCACGAGACGAAGATCAGTCGACGCATTGTGGACATCTGGAAATTTGGAAATCGTTATTTTCAGCACTTTTAGTTTAGAGTATTTTTATTTTCTGGATTTTTTAGATTTTCACAATTTTCTCAATCTTTTAGCGTCTTTCTGTGTTTCCCTATGTCCGGATGTCTGCAAGCCTTTAGTTTTTGCCAGGTCCGCAACCACCATCACGTCAGATTGCGTACATTCAAATTAAAAAAAAATTTCTTGAAAAGGAAAAATTCTTTTAGACTCGAATTTAAAGATTTCCTAGATGTTTTGAGATGTTTCCAGTGTGAAAAATTGTCAGGAATTTGAATTTATCAGTTTCAAAGCTTAAAAATAAAGATTGAAAGCTAAAATTCGTTAGTTTATCTGAAAATTTAAAACTGTTCTGTGTGCCGGCAGACGCGTAGCGTGTCGCGCATCGCGGTCGCCAGCTGGCTAATTTTTGGCGCATTTCAGCTTGAAATGGGTTAAAATCTATTAACTTTTCAGATTTCTCCGCTTCTGTACCTCTCTACACGCCAAAATGACTTTCTCATGCATGCCAGCCCTCGGCGGATCCAGTACTCCCACCACCCTCGACGTCCTCAAATCGAATCCTGCCGGCAATTGATACTTCATCGAACGGAATGTGTCCTCGGCCTTTCCAGCAATATATTTACAGCACTTTTCCATTTTGTTCTGTTTCGCGTTTTGTTTGGCGTCCTCCACGGCTTCCGTGATCATTTCGATGCCGACGCAGAACACTTTTTGGGTGTTTTCAATGTTTTTGAGGAGGCATTGTCCGATGGTTCCTGTTCCACAGCAGATGTCGAGGAGGATCGTTCCGGGGTCTTCTGGAGACGTCGACGTCTTCGAAGGCGTTGTGGTTGGGGCTTCTGCGGCAACTTCTGGGTCGATTCTCGCCATCTTTGTGGGCGGAGCATCGCTGTCATCAACTGGAGCTGGAGCTTCAGCTGGAGTCTCGGAAGTCACCTCCATCTTCTCAACAACGCCTTCAGTGTCCTTTGGTGCTTCAGCTGAAGCCGTCACGACTTCAGAAACCTTCTCAGCCAGCCCACACAGCTCTCCAATTGTCGAGTACAACACAGATGCGCCTTGAGAGTTGGTTTGGAAGAATGCTGGCGGCGAAACACGGAATCGGCAGTCTAGAAGCGATTCGTAGATGTATGGGGTGCCGGCGATGAGTTTGAAGTTTGGCGTATCGCTGATATGAACCATCTCTTGCCAGTAGATACTGCACACGCGGTACTTTTTCGAGGTGAAGGTTCTGGAAAGTGAAATGTTGAGTTTTTGAGAGGAAAATTCAGATGTTCCGAATCCAGGATGTTTAGAAAAAAAAAAATCTGAAAGTTTCCAGAATCCAGGAAGCTCAGAATCTTCAGAACTTTCAAATGTATTATTTGCCACGTGGATTTCAGAGATCTCAAATTTCCAGAAGTTCGAAGTTTCAGAATTTCGGAGTTTCAAAAATTCGAAAATCTGATATTTTTGGAATGTTCC